GCAGAAATACCAAACAGTGTTTGGTCTCCACACGTGGCAAAAGCTGAAAGATGTTCAAAGAGTGACCTGATGCACACATGGGTATATATGCACACATTAACATGTGGGACTCTTACTAAATAGCTGCCTTTGTCAAACTATGTGAGTTGTCCCCTGGTGGTCATTAGGAAAAAAAAAAAATTGAAGGAACATATTGCGAGCATTGACTTCACTTTCAGACCCAAAAGCTACATCCAGCCATCTTTTTTTGCAGTCTACGATAAATCATCACTGCTTTACAGCTACATTTTCCTTGTAAGTAATTATTGGTCCTACATTCCACCACACAGAAGCATTCAACTATTTTTTATATATTTTGGTACTGGATGTAGTCAGAAAGTAATGTAGAAATTGAACATACATTATTACTTTCATAACAGCGAATTTTCTTTTCGTTTTCTTTTTCATTTCATTTTCTTTTTTAAGCATGTACAATTCAGCTCTGTGGTTGTAACTGATTTGTAACTGAATTTAAAATGCAGATGTATAAAATAAAGATGTTTTTACCAAAACATAATTTACTTACATAAATCTGATTATACGACTGTCCAAAATACAGGAAAGCACGCTGTAGGACAATAAGAGGAGAACTTCCATCGTCTGAAGCAGCGCTTATTGTTCCAGATATTGGATAGAGGGTACCTTAAAAGAGTAAAAAAGGGATTTGCCCCATTATGCTGCAGTTTAAACACTGTATCCTACAGATACACTGTCTCAATAAATACAACCCCAATTCCAAAAAAGTTACTGTCAAAAAGGTAACTAAAAATACATTGAAGTTATTTGCAAATCTCAGAAACTTCAATGTATTTGAAATTAAACACACAAACAGTTTGAACTTAGAACTGTACCATTAACAAAATATATTGGTTCATTTCAAATTTGATGGCAGCAACAAATCTTATAAAAGCTGTGATTCTAAAAAGGAAAAAATGAAGGAACACTTTGCAAATCGTTGTTTAGATTCCAATTCCATTACTTTATTTTGGAATTAGGGTTGTACAGCATGAAGAACCAGAATAAATCCTTTTGAAAGCATTTTGGCCTGTCATAGCAGGAAGAATAAATCAGAACACAAAAACAGAACACTATAGAACTAAAAAAACAACAACCAACAAGGAGGTGGTGGCCTCAGACTGAACTCAGATCAGATTATTCTAAAAAGCCACCTGATGAGATAACTCTTATATTAAAATAAGCAGCTATGTGCAGCTAAAATTTTGATACCAGAGGAAAAAGTTTGGATTACTGTTAGTGTTTTCTGATAGATCTTCAAGAGAATGTTAATAAATTATAGAGAGGTGATCAAAGCTTTCACTTACTTGTTGTCTGAGGACTCACATGACCTATCACAATAAGCACGTGTTTGAATACAAATCTGAGAATCCTCACATTGTTAAACAGCAATAAGCTAATCAATACAACAACAATAAATCATTAGGCTGATTTTATTTAATACTCACCTATAATCACCAAAAGCAGCAAAAACAATGGGGTTTGACTCGCCATAACTCAAAATCAAACCTGCAGAATGAATATACATAAATAAAAAAGTGGGTATGCAACATGTATATGTACACAATTTGTTAAGTAGCTTATAGAGCAGAAGATGTTTTGAAGTTTAAATGTTGATGTGCACTGAAATACTCTCAGCTAATAATATAGGCATTACTGTGCAATATCAGTGAAATCTAAACATGGTGTAAAGGCTATCTTTGTTTCTTCTTGGAGTTCTCTATTTCTCTTATATCTAAAATAAGAGTCTGGATGGACAAGAGGCTGTTTTATGCGTCGGTTTGTGCAACAACGACGGTAAAACCATCGTGTCGATTCGCCATTCACTTGTTTTATTTCTCACAAATTCTCACAACAAAAGCACCATATCCCTTTCAGGCTTTTCAAAATAAAACATGTAATAACTATAAATGGCGCTAACACGTGGCTTTATAAATTTAAGCATAGACATAATATAATAGCACATAATAATAATATAAAACAATCCCAGAGAAGTCTGAAAATAATTTTTAGTTTAACCGAAATAACTTAATTACCTTGTCACGTCTTCTTTGGCTCATATACATCTCATGTGAAGCAACAGGACTCCCTGCAGCAATG